CTGCCACTGCTCCAACTGGCTTTCGAGCAGGGCCCTCCAATCACCTCGAGTTGCTTCACCCTGGGCCAAGAGTGAAAGCGTTTGATCTTCAAAAATTCTTGAGAACTACTTGGTGGCTCATCCCACTTAGTAAGTGGGTTATAACCCCAATTATAAGTGGATTAACCCTACTTATCCCATTTATAACTGGGGTTATAACCCACTTACTAAGTGGGATGAGCCACCAAGTAGACCCAAAAACGGTTTCATGCTATCTGTGCTAAAGACAGCCACCATCACCAAAGTTTTCCCAACAAAGTTCCTGTGGTAAACCCAATAATAAACAGTAATGAACCCCAATATAGAGGTTTATTATTGAGTGTACCCCTAATCCCTTGGGATGATGTCTATCATGACTGCCATGGTTCAGAAGGGATGGTTTTTCTATGGTGAATCCTCCACCAAGTCGCTCTGGCTTCCCGGGCGCATGCGCCGAAGTTCTGTCAAAAGCTCTGCGCCAGCTTGACCCACCTTGGATTGTTTTTGTTTTTTGCGGTGTGACTTAGATCCACCTAGGCCAGAGTCCGAACGTGTCCAAGAACCCTTAAACCCTCAAACATGTTCAAGTATGATCAAACACAGAACGATTTCAGATCTTGACTGTCCGTATTCTTTGAAAAAAAGGATAGATGTGAACTTACCGGATATAGTTTTATCGGCTTGATCCCAGAATGGAATTTGCCATATGGAAAAATGATGGAAGACTGTATTTGGGATAGTGCATCAAATATGGAATTGCAAAAAAATGAGAAACTAATTGAACGTTAACTAATTGAACGTTGAAAACCAACAAACCATATGGATTAAAAAACACTTAAGTGGGATTCATCAATCGAAAGCCTATTTTTCTTTGGTGAAGTCATTGAATCCCATCGTTCCGACTGCGCCTCTGCTTGACTTGGAGGACACCAGGTCAGCCACTGCTGGGCCTTCCAGGCTTCCTGCTTCAAAAAATGCTGGAAAAAAACCATCAAAGATGCTGATTTCAGTAACAGAAATATGGATGTCACCCAGAGAAGTGGGGGGTTGACCAGTTTGAAAAAGCGGATTTTTCGCGGATTTTGGGATTTAAGCTAGAAGAATTGGTGTTTGTGAGTTTGGCAAAAAGAGAGGTGAATAAACCAACCATTTTATTGGGGAGAAAGGCCATATATATATTATATATATATGATATAACCAACAATTTGATCTGGGATTGTCTGAAATTTTAAGATTTACCCCAATAATACCCCATTCAAACAATGAGGAAGAAAATGATGATACACCTTACAACAATGGTTTCTTTTGGTGCCCCATTTTTGAACAAATCCATTTGGGTGTGGATCAGAGTCAAAACCATTTTGTTATGGGTCGTCACGCCAAAACAGCTACAGCTGGTACAAGTATAGCTGGGTGTTCTCATCCCCAGAATGGAAAGCATAGGCAGCCTTTGACTATATTCACATCACGGTCAAGTTCGATATCTTGACACAGCGTTCGAAGAATGGTTGTGCATATTTGATGTAACTAATCATGCATATATAAAATTGCGATACACATGTTGTGCTAAACATTGCTAAACCAAAGCCAACAAGATTCTGTCGGATAAGAAGTCCACACAAACTCCCTCTAGGGGTCCATTCACAGTGCAAGCGTCCTAGCAAAACCTCCGCCAAATTTAAGGACTTGGCTTAGATTTCTTCGCTCCATACTGCCATACACAAACAATGGTTGACTTTTCTTGCCAAACAATGGTTGACGTGTTTCTTAAAGCTAGTCAAAACAACAGAAAATCACAAACTCCCGAGCAACTACGGTCGAGTCTTTCCTTTTGCTTTGCAAAACAACCAGCCATCTGACCAACTATGCGCATCCCTTCTCCACTTCAATCTGCACAAGTGTTCATCAGCAAAAAATCCAAGTGGTTAATAACCCTGGTAATCTATAAATGGATGAACTAACTATGGTTAACCACTTACAATTCGTGGGATGATGCCCCAATTGATGATTCATCCACATTAATTCCAATTATAAATCATTATAATCCCTATTGTTGCTGGTTAAATCCCTATTGTTGCTAATTAAATCCCTATTGTAAATGCTTAAATCCCTATTGTAAATGCTTAAATCCCGTTATTATCCCATTCTTCCATTATCTCACCAGCCCAAGAGGCACCGCCCTTATTAAAGCCCCGTCCTCGAAGAGCGGTGCCACCTGCCCGGGCGAAGCCCCGGCCGCAGCCATGTGGCGCGCCGTCTGCGCCAGACTTTGGAGCAGGGAGGCCGTGATGGCGTCCTGGGTCGGCAAGGGGTTCGCCTTGAAATGCCCTGCGGAAGGGGGAAATCCGGTGGAAATCCCTTGTTTGTACGGTTGAACATCTTGAAAATGGGAGGGGAATGCTGCAGAAATGCTGGTTGATGTGGTTTCAAACCCCAAGTTCTAGCTATTTCATTGGAGGAAATACAACTTAAAATTAGGAAAATATTGCTAGTTGGTCGCTGAACTCTCTGAAAATATGCTGGACATTTGGGACCATCATCCCATTTTGAGTAGGTGAAATTGTTTGAGAGCACCAACCCGTCGCCATGTCCATTGGAATTTCACTGGCAGCAAAAAGCCTTCAAAGTGTTCGGGCTCATGTCAGCTCTAGTACGAACTTACTGGAAAAAGATTATCTGGTGTCTCCATGGATATCACATGAGCCAATGCTGAATCCCCCATCGGGAATGTGCACAACAGTAGAAGCCTGTTTCATGAGATTCAAAAAATGATGCTGATGATTATTCAGAAAACTTAAACAACATAACGTAACATATGTAACATAACAATCATAACATATATGCGCCATTCGCAAAAGTTGGATGATATACTATGATATACTATACCAATTTAAAATATTTGAATAGTCATCCCCCCAATACTTAGGGGCTAATATTCTCATCCAGTGGGTAACCCATGCATCTGAGCATCCACATCATCTGTCACCTGCCGCTGCTGCCAGCTCTGTACCAGCTCCTCAGTCACAAACCGACACACACAGCACGATATAATGCTGTGTTGCAAGCGCCACAGTCTTTCTAAACATGGACGAATATGTGTTCTCAGTTGTTGTTTTGCACAATAGCTCAAACAAAATGAAAAGAACGCTTCTATCTCTGGATCTTTCATTCATAATTTATGTTTCACCCATTAAAACATCTATCTCTATCAGATCTTTCACCCATTATATAGCCATTTTACTGCCATTTCGAACTATCCCAACTCCCCAACCACTTCCCATGGGGCGGCCACTCCGTCACTCCGCGCTCCTCCACCTTCTGCTGCAGCATCTCGGGTGGGTCCTTCATCAGGGCCTCGAGGCGATTCTTCAGATCTTCTTTGGCAAAGTCCACCTGATTTCTGGGCCAAAACAGACGTTTTTAACAGGCCGGGTCCCGGGGACTGGATAGGGATATGACGTATGTAGGAAAAAGGAGATGACCTATGATATGAATAGACAATATGATAAATGCGAAAGATATCTAAAAATAATGATGATAATGATGATAATGATGATAATACATATTCTTTAGTGGTGCTGACATGAAATATTTGGATGCTCATGAAGCTTCAAGATGCTTTCATGATATACGTTGCACCCAAAAACTGGAAATGCAATAGATTGCCAGTCACAGATGGGGAAGCAGATCATGCTGCCAGCGACTAGGCATCTTTCCCGCTTTCCCGGTGGCCCACGACTCAAGAAGTCGAGTGAATTTGTCCCAACATTCCAGACTCATCAGACTGCAGAAAGAAGATGAAGAAGATGAAAGGCCGCAAAATGAATCAAAATAGTTGACTCTGCAGGGTGTCAGCGTAGGCTCCTGTGAAGATTCTTTGCTGCCACCAAGGCACGTTGGATTGCTTGGCATCTCTGGGAAGACTCCGACCGCGTCCCTGCGCAAATTTCAAACAGTTTGAATGTATGCGAACGTATCCTAGCTGGTTGGTGGTTTTAACCATCTTGAAAAATATTAGTCAATGGGAAGGATTATCCCATATATTATGGAAAATAAAAGCCATGTTCCAAACCACCAACCAGCTAGATCCTTTCCTTCGGGTATGAGTTAAAATTTGAATACTCTGGGACTCCTGACTCACAGGTCCTGCAGATCCAAAAGTTCCATAAAGTTCCCCCATTCTCTGGGCATATCCCAGCAGTTTCACAAAGATTGCCTCATGCCGTAGCCAAGTTCACGGCGCCTGTGACTGGGAATCGAAATGAACATGCTGCGCTCCATGCAGCTGATGCTTCCACTTGTCCACGATCTGCGGTTGCAGTCCTTGGAATTCATGAAGTCCAACTTCTCAAGTCATGTGGAAACAATGTGGAGACAAGCTAAGCTGGTTGGTGGTTGACCTACCCCTCTGAAAAATATTGGTCAGTTGGGATGATTATATCCAATATATTGAAAAACAAAAAAATGTTCGAAACCACCAATCAATAAGCCAGGCATGATGAATGAAGGGAATACCCACATGGCTCTTTTCGTGACTGAGCGGCTGTACTTAAAGGTGCCAAGACTCGTGCGAAGTCTTCACTGCTAATGGTACCTCCACCCTCCCTGAGCACTGATTGCATCGTGTCCATGAGAGACTGAAGCCACACTCCCATCTCTGAGTCCTGAGCAAGGTCAATCTATGCGAGACGTATACACCCGCTAAAGTCAAGATGTGACCCAGAAAATGGGGCCTGGAGACATTTCCATGCTAGAATTGAGAGCGTGCAAGCAATCATTGAAATTGGAGGGTCTTTTGAACAAAAAACAATTGTCTTTTGAGAAATTCCCATAAAATCCGCAGAAAACATAACCACCCGCAGAAATCCCATCAAAATCCGGTGCCATCCATGGTCCAACATGGTTCCGCACCATTTCCCCAGCTTCCGCCCGATCATCTGCACCCACCAGCGGCTTGGGGGGTCCTGGGTCAGGTTGGACCCTCATAGCCGTTCCTGGCGCCACGCCTGGCCACGCTCCATCAGGCGGCTGGCGTCCATCGCGACGCCGTCCTCGAAGAGCGCCTGGAGACATCAGCAGATGGGGATCGTCATCCCACCATGGGATGGAAACATGGTGAAAATGGTGAAGTGCTTGGTGGTTGAGCCACCTAGCCCTCTGAAAAATGATGGAGTTCGTCAGTTGGGATGATTGTTCCATTCCCAACTGTTTCTGGAAAGTCATAAAATTCCATAGTTCCAAAGCACCAATCAGTGAAACATGGTGAACAGATCATTTCAGATCGTAGTTTTGTGATTTGGAATTAAAATTAACAACCGTGTGGCTGGAAATTTAAATATAGATCATGTTTGAAACCAGCAACATCCACACCAACCAAATCAGTTGAGGATTCCAAAGTGGCTGCTCGTTGCTGTTCAGATTCTTGAGGGCACTTGAAAGTGCGGCACGGTGGTGCCTTTTTTTGAAACTCAATACACACATATGAAAAAAAAACATGAAACAATAGAAAGACAAAATTCAACAACCATGATTATCATAAAGTTCCAACAAACAAAAACACCCAAACAGTGACGCCCCCCATGAAGTGGGACAGCCATACCCAGGATGCCTCCATTTCCTGCAAGAACTGCTTGGCATCTTGGACAGCCTGTTCAACACGTGTTGATGGGATGAGCAAAAAACATGTATATAGAATGGTTGGTGAGTAGCGATTCCCAGTTCATGGATTATGGTAATTTTATTGTAATAGAGAAATTATAGAGGATATGGGTATCAAAGAAAAATATAAGTTGATCATCCGCCAACTGTGTTTCTTTCTGGACTTATAATGAAGCGCAGTGTTCAAACTCGGCCTGGCTCTTGCCATGCCGTTCAGTCTTAGGCGCACGGCGGTCCTCACAAAATTTTGGCAGATGATGAGGCATGTGGGGATGCGTCAAGATCTTTGGCACCATCTTTAAGGGGTCTGAAAATCCACAACTAATTTTTGACCCAAGTGGTTTTGTCTGATATGGATACCCACAAATCCCATGGTTTATCTTGAGTTTTGCCATAGCTTACCATGAAATTGCAGCGTCATACCGCATACCCTATCTTTGATCCAGACCCACATTGCAACCTCGTCTTGTCCTTGCTCAGCTCGTTCGACTGTTTCACATGCTGGGCGGTTTCCTGCCAAGGGAAGCCGGAGAGTCTCGCAGTTGGTATGGAGATTTCCCAAAATGGCTACCCCAACAGCTGGATAGTTTATAGTGGAAAATCCCATTCTCAACTGGATGATTCACGGGTACCCACCAGACTATGGGAGCTTCCCATAGGACTGATATCCAAATATCAAATATGCCTATAAAATGCTTTCTGTAATCCTCCATTTCATCCCCCATCGAAGATCCATTGATATCATCGATCATCAAATATATCATCAAATATCACATCAAATGGTGTAGTCCTCCGATATCCATTCATCCCCCATTCATTCTGGGTAAATTATAATATTTCACCAACCTGAATCTTGCGGCCATAAAAGGGGATGATTTCCCTTATAAACCATGATTCCAGTGAGGGAGAACAGTGAGGTCGTTATAATTTACGCAGGTAAATCCACGATAAATCCATAATTTCCCATGATTTCCCATTCGAAACTCCGGCACGGCACCTGCATGGCCGCCTGGGCCGGCTGGTTGCGTTGCTTCCAGGTCTCCTTTCGAATGCTGCGCAAGCTATCGCAGGCTGCGAGGGGAGAAACATCCTTTAGAAGTCCAGAAATGATAGGTTCAATACAGGATGGTGCCCCCCAGTGATGTTAGTGGGTTTATAAACCCCATGAAAACTATAGTTCTATCTGCCATAAACCATAGTTATGGGACTTATCTGCACCAACTTAGCTAACGAACTGGGGCACCACCTTGTATGGTTTAATCATGAAAAATTGGATTGTAATGGGACTACAATGGATTATAGTGGAGTATAACCTATCAAGTATCAACTGGTTGGTGGTATACCTACCCCTCTGAAAAATATGAAAGTCAGTTGGGAAGGATTATCCCATATATATTATGCAAAAATAAAAAATGTTCCAAACCACCAATGAGATATGGTTTAATCATGAAAAATTGGGAGTTGACTTTGAATAAAATTGGCAAGAATGAGCAATATGGACAAATTGGACATATCCAAAATGGTTGTCAAATTGATGGTTCAATATGTGGGAAACATATCATTGGGTTTAATCCCAATGTGACACTATTCATGAAAAATTGGGAGTTGACCATGAAACAATTGGCAAGAATAGGGATTTGACCATCAAAAATTGGGAGTTAAGCAGCCAGAAATGGTGATGAATTGTAATGCAACCAGCGAACATAGGAAAATTACACATGGAGAATGGTGATAAATCCTGTTCAACCAACAAACATGGACGTTTAACCATCAAAACTAGGGATTGAACCAATACATTAATTAATAACATAAGCATAGTAGGATATATATGTAATGGTAATACAATAAACCACTGTAATGCTTGTGCACAAGCATGATGACTTACCCTCTGGCAGACATGGCGTCCTGGACAATCCACCATTTATAGATATGTGATATGTGTGTTCCCATGAGAATAGTCATGGTTGCCAGAGGGGATCCCAAATATTCATCAATACCATATTCAAATTGAGTTTTAACACAGTTGAATCATCCTAATGTAGGTCCTAGTGTTTGATGTTTAAATCCAGATCTTCAGACACTCCCAAATACACTATTCATTGATTACAGTAAATTCCTATTGCTGATGGTGAAATCTCCTATTTTTACAGCTAGATCCCTGTTTTTTGCACCTTTCCAAATCGACTTGTCAGGGCTCCTTGATGTCTGTCTCCAACTTCTGAAAGAATTCAGCATCTCCCACTACTTTGTCATCCACGGCATGCACTTGAACAACTGACTGAACCGCTTCAGCAAAGCCTGCAGGTAGAAGAAACAGGTTTGCTTGAAACCAGAATCTTGTTGGAGTTTCCCTATCTGATTTTGCAAGTCCATGAGTTCTAGAAACCATCAAACAAAAAGGAAACTGTGTAATTTCTTTTCCAGACTCAGTGGCGTTCCTTTCTTAGGTATACTCTCTAGCTTGAAGCTATTGTGAGATCTAGGCGACCATTTCCAAAGTTGAACATGTGGATCCATACTTAGATTTGAGACATCTGGCCACAGTGATGCTAACATTACAAAAATTAGATCCTTTGCAATAAGAACACAATGTATTTCTAGTTGGATGTTTCAATGTTCAGCCCCATTTATGACCAGGAAAGAAAAAAACATCAAGCCACCCAATATTTTTCAAGTCTCCCATCTTCGTTTCACCTAGTGATTGCTGCCCTTAGAGCTCAGCCGTTGCCGTTTCGCGCCTTGGTACATGGCCTTGGAGGCCTTGGTGCCGCCGGCCTGGACCTGTTTGTTGGTCCACTCGTTGCATTGCTTCAGGATCTCCGGCATCAAGTCCTCACCCGGCCTGGACGGGGCGACGGGGCTGGATGGTGGATGTCGGTGGAAGGTGTTTAGGCGTTGTCAGTAGGAGGTATACCATGGTATGCCTATATTGGTTGGTTGATGGATGCCTTTTCTGGATGCAACTCGAGTTACCATCTGGTTATTTTAGCTATGGAAAATCCATTGTAAATGGAGGTTTTCATGGGAAAATCATCTGTAAATGGGCAATTTTCCATAGCTATGTTAAATAACCAGAGGGTAAACTCTACACTTTTCTCTGTTCCTTGTACCTCTTTGAACGAAGTCCTGCTTTGCCTCGGTGCTGCTGAAACCCCCAGGACTGGAGGCCTGGCCCAGCTGCATCTGAAGACGTCCTCCAGGTTGCGCAGCAACTTTTCGCCATCTTTCAGCACCTGGCTCGTTCAACGCCAAGCCATGGGCGCCATGGGCCACTATGAACCACTAAGTTCCACCTCTCCAGTGCTCGAAGCTGACACTCCAAGGAAAAATATGACCTTTGTATATGATGTTCCTCTTCAAAGTCCACCTTTCTGTATAGGAAAATGATCCCCTCATCTGAAAGATCTGAAAGTTTATCCGCCTTCGATGGCTTAATCTTCTCCAGTTGCATTTCAGCGTCCTGCAGCCGCTGAGCTCTGCTGAAGTTGGGATATTGAATAATTATTGGGGTTGGCTCTGTTTGGGAAAAAAACATACCCTTAAAGCCAATGGGTTCTCATCATTTTTCCATGTTATTTCCCATTTAAAATATCGTTTTAAGATGTTTTAAGGCTATCCCCCCACTTTCAGACCCACCCATTTGGGGCAGTCTGCTCAAGGAGCCAGGGGTCCAACCATGGTGTCCAACCCCACTCGGCAGCCGGTCCTGGCTCTTGCTGGGCTCAGGACCTCTCTCCTGGCCGCGAGTGTCTCCCATACGTTGGCGCCAGGCATCCTGGGGCCGCAAGAATCCAGTAGGGAATCAAATACTGAAAGCAAACATGATTTCTTGTGTGTTCCTATTATCTCTCTCCTAACGTCGAACCGAATTGAACTCAAAAACTTTTTCGAAGGGTTGACTCATGTTCACTCCAAAAAAAAGTTACAATATCAGTTCTTGTGTTCTTATGTTGTCTTTTTGCCATTTTTTGTCATGGTTTCACTGGTTCAAACTCCCCGGCTCCCCATTGCCATCATCGCGTCGCACCTGGATCTGACCTTTCAGGCCCTCGAAGCTACTGTCAGCCTTGGCCACGGTCACCTCCTCGGCGTTCACGGCGACGGAGTGCACCACTTCGGCGAACCCTGGGGAAGCGCTGCGATCTGCGAAGGTCGGCTTCAATCAGGGCTCCATTGGGGAAATTCTGGGAGATTTGGGGAGGTGTGTAATTTTTTAAATCACCATGTGGAGAGGCAAACATTATCATCATATCATCATTCTCTATATAGATTAGAGATGATTAGAGATTCATGAACCCCTGCTTTCTTTATTTTGACAGCAGATTGGGGTTGACATTATTAAACTGGGGAGAATGAAGAAACTCGACACAACGGAATGCGCTGATGTCATCGAATATCAGTTTGCACCCAAGAAAATTGGTCGAGTATCCCCTGCTTGTCCTCCACATCAGCAGAACTACTTTGCATCGTGAGCTCATGGTGATCTGTAGCTTCCTTCAGTTGCCCCGTCTTAGTATATGGTAAATCCCTCGATTCAGGCATGATCTAGAACAACGACTAGTTAACATACTATCTTGATGGGCTCATATGGGTTTGTCTGAAAATGGGGTACCGTCAGTTCCACAGTGTTAGAAAATCATGTTCCCATTAAAGTGATTTAAAGTGGACACAGTTTAGGGACAAAATCCACCATTTTGATCCATTTTGGTTGTATGGCGTTATAACCCCAAATAACCCCAATTAGTGTAGTTTGAATACACTTATTTTTGCTGCTTAAATTATCATTTCTGCTGGATGAATCCCCAATTTAACTGCAAGCTCAAATCCCACTGTTTCATGGTTAAATCACTATGTTTGATGTTTAACTCACAGTTTTTGATGGAAAAATCACCATTTTGATGTTTAACTCACCATTTTTGATGGTCAAATCACCATTTTGAATGGGAAAAATCGTGTCAACTCCACCACGTTTTTCCACGTTTTCCCACGTCCCGTCCACGTGACCTCGGTAGAGGTCTGCCAGGCCCGAGTCCGGCGCCAACTTCTGCGACGCCAGCTGCTTGGACGTCCAGGAGTCGCACTCGGCCTTGACGTCGGGGCTCAAATCGTCACCTAACCTGCGACAGGCAGAAGGGGAAATGGTGTTGATGTGTCTATATACATATATATATATATGTGTGTGTGTAATATGATATAATATAAACTATAAACCAACTATTATAAATTTAGCAATTCTGTTTTGGATCTGTCTTGGAGGCTGACCCATGACAGGCTTTGGATTGATTTGTTTGGGGAAAATCTAGGGCTGAAACCATTTTTTGACCTCGCGTATTGGGGTTTCTTGCAAAGTTTCCCTTGTTCACGCCGATAGGTTGCCCAGTCATTCCAAACCAAACAACAGGTTTGAAGCTCTTGCACTCGCAACTTCATGGCTTCTACGCTACCCACCGCACCTGGCAAAGCTGCTTTTCAGGATGTTGTCAAGATCCTTCATGAGCCTTCCACTATCTTGAAGCACCTCGCAGCAATGCCATTCCGGTTCTGTTGCACGTTGACAAGCTACAAGTTGTGGGTCTAAGGGTGAATCCGACGAAGTGCCATCAGGATGGGTCATGCACCTTCCATCGGCACCTAACTTTTCCTATCTTACCCAACAAAAAGGTACCCCATTCCACTGGTTCCTCACCGACTGATTTCCGAAAAGGGCGTTGGAAAACAAGCTGCCTTCTCCATCTGCTTGTGCCAAAGCACCTGTGAGTCATCAGTGATTCATCCCGGGGTTTGCCCAGAAAGAGCGAGTTCAACCAACAAGATTATATTTGTGGTCTAACATGGTCTAACAACAAAGTCAGGTTTTAACTAGTCACAAAAATGAATGAAATTGGTTGGTTGGGTTTAGAAGGGCTGTGATCTTTTCAGTAAAGGAGTATACAAACAATGAACTCACAAAAACAAAAAATAAGAAAAAACAAAATAAAAAGAAAAAGAAAAATAAAGCTAAAAAACAAACCAGAAACATTTTTTGAAAAATGTTTGATATTTTTTGTGCTTTTCTGTCAATTTTTGTTGAATTAAGTTTCGCTGCAGTTGGAATCTTTGCTTATATCATCCTGTCCCAACACAGCTGCAAAGGCAAAGGCTGACAGTTTTTTTTCCTCAGCAGAGCCATGCGCAAAGAGTCCTTGCTCTGGCCGCTACATGATTTGAAAAAAGAACTACCGGCTGCTTTGAAGACCTTGCCGCTCATCATCAAACTGCCCGCTTTGAAAGCGTCTCTACTTGCCTTTTCTAGCTCTCTTGTAGATTCGCTCATCCAGAGCACTCATCGCGATCTCGGCCTGAGGCTTGCTTTCCATGGGAGCAGTTGAATCCAAAGCTTCCATTGCCCCAAGGGCAAGGGCCATCTCCTGCACAATGTATGGGCACAAAAACAGCCACCACCTAATTGCCATGAACCCCCTTAAATACACGAACGAGGGATGCCAAACTCACGGCTCACAAAATCTAAGTCTTAAAAAATAAGGAGGCGAGAGAACAAAGGAGGACAACAGTCAACAAACATTCCAACACGAGTCCTCGGTCTGTGACAAAGCCAACTGAACTGCTTGCCCGGATAGAGTCCGATCTTTCCAATTTAAAGGAGCCAGCGCACATTGTACCATAGCAAGGACTACTGGCAATGCCATGGCGTTGCCTGCCAGGTCCATCATGAGCGCTTCAGAAGGATGCCATTGCTGCGCCAAAGGCATGGTCTCCATGCGCGCTGCCAAAATTTGCAAGAAAGGTTGGAAAGCCTTGCATGAGCAAAGCCTCTCGCCCAAGGACTAGGCAATTCTGTGCCTCACACCAAAGAACCATCCTTGGAAGCACTGTGCTCATGACATGCTTGCTGGAATCTTGTCTCCAGGTGTTCGAATTTCCTCGCACGATTGACTGAGACAAATCTCGGAACACAATGTACGGGGTGCATTGCTGCAGCAAAGACAAAGCGTCTTGCTCACGGTCACCCAAAGTCTGGTACCACTGATTGGCGGCCAATTTTGCTGGGACAGCTTGCCCCCAACGCACCCGGTAATTTTGGGCAAACTGCATGTGCTGCTCGACCCAACTCTGAGGGGGAGCGGGTGCTCCTTGTTTCTTCTCAGCGTCCTTCTCCCTTTGTTTCGCCCGCTTGTCTAAGCGCAACCCGAGTTCCAGTTGAACTGGTTCCGAACTTTCCTGGAAAAGGATCTGGGTCACACAAGGCCCACCTCGAAGGCAACCAAGCAGCAAAGCTGTCAAAGGCCTCAATCTTTGCCTCCTCCAGTGGGCCGTATTCAGGCTTCCAGTTGTCCACCTCAACAAAGAACATGTCAGGGGCTTCAAACTCGCAGCCATGCTCGTCCTTGGTAACCAGTTTCTCTTTTGCGTCCCGGACAGAGTCCTTATCATCTGCATTGCGGAGCCTGTGCTTGTTTGGGTTTGCATTGTGCTTCTTGATCCATTCGTCCAGACTGGCCAGGAAAACGGCATGGTCAACTCTCTTCTCTGCGATCATCTTCAGATATTTGGCTATGTTTCCGTACTTGTGGGAAAAGCCTAAGAGCTTCCAGACATTCCGGCACAAACTACACAACTTGGACTGGGGAACCCGGTACGTGACACCAGAGGCCTTGTCAAAGACTTTCCTGTAGGAACTCCATGGCCTACGGCTGCCATGCTTGTCATGCAGGTGGCTGCTTGTCAGGGGGCTTTCTGAGACACTGGTCTTCTGGCACAAAGCGCAGGTACAAGGCTTTCTCAGATCAAAACTGATCTGCTCTGCGACCGGTCCAGATGCCTCTGAACCTTGTCATCAAAACCGCCTTCAGACAGACCTCCAAAGTCTGACCCAGGAAGACTGGCCATTCGGCACGGACCTGCCAACCCTTCGGGTTGCAAAAGCGAAAGGAAAACAACTACAACTCACACAGCTTGAGCCTAAGCAGGAAGGACGACCTCTGGCAGACAAGCCTAAGGAGTCGAGACAACCAGGTGGCAACTCAGGAGCTTCAGGCTTCCCCTGCACAGAACCAAGTTCGAACTGCTAACTTCAAGCAGCAGCTGACAACTGCAAGGTTTTGCTGCACGAGAGTGCCTGTCGCGCATTGTTCAGGTGAAACTTGTCTGCTCTGTCTTTAGTCAGCTCTGGCAATGGGCTAAAACCAATCCAATCACCTCGGAGCAGGTTGGAACAGAATTGTAAATCTACATTTTTTTTGGGCGAAAGCTATTTTCATCTTTTTTGATATATTTTTATTTGTTTTTGACTTTTCAAACTTTTTTGAAAAACCGGAATCTCGCACTTAACCACAAGTTAAGTGTATGAAAACAGGAGATAAGTGAATGAAAACGGAAGATAAGTATATGATTTTCAAAAATGAAAAAATCTTTATTTTTCTTAATCGTTTTGAAAATTTAAATTGTTTTTAGAAAAACAATAAAATATCAAAATATCTGATAATGTTACTACTTTGGGTTGCCTTTGGCAAAACCTCCCCGCAAACCAAAATCCAAACCAACATGATCACCACTACTTGTTTGATTGCTGCAAAAGGATAAGAAGACGCTGTGTCTGACTGTACTGTCGAAGAGGTCAAGGATTGGAAAGAAACCTGGGTGATATGAATGTAGATCTCAATGGTCCATCGTACTTAAATATACTGCCACCGCTCGCTACCAAAGATCTATCGCGAATATATTTCGAAAGCCAGGTCACAACCACAAGCAAAACTTAAACAACGTCAGAAACTATAAAGCGGAAAGTCACTTCAAAGGACTCAAAGACTTGAGGCAGTATATTGTCGAATTTTCTCGTCGATCTCTTCTTCTGAGGGGCCTTCGGCAAAAGCTTGTAAGCCAGGTCCTCCCATGGCCACATGATCTGACCGAGCGTTCTGGACAGAAAGCTCTGCATCATTGAGCCCGGCTAGAAGCCACCGTTTCAATCGTAATATGCAAGCGCTGTGGCTCAACCGGCCCATGCTCAAAGCTTTCTTGCACCTCGAGCCACTTCCATCTCCTCTGTTGTGGTGCAAGCCGCAAATGGCTCCCCACCCGGTTTGTCCTCCTTGCGGCACAATGGGCGACAGCAAGAAGGGTCCCCAACGAACCCCCCGCTTTTGTACCACTCTCTTTGACTTCGCGGACTGGACAGCCCGGCCAGAGGCCGCGTCAACAGCAATGCCTGGTGGGTTTTGCTCTGCCCGGTGGGACACCGTATCTTCGCCGAAACATAGACACAATTCAACCAATTGTGCGGCATGTGTCTGCGCTTGCTTCCACTCATCCAAAACTGCTGCCGGAGTGGAATCCAAAATAGACAGTTCTTCAGATATGTATCGTGTGACTTGGCGCTTCAAACCTTTCAACAAGTTAGACTTGTTAAGGGCCTTTGCCACTGAGAAATTCCCGCCGAGCACACCAGTGAGTTTGCTCAGTTGTTCGATCACGTTACCTGTACGATGTTGAACACAAAGAACAGGTAGGAAAAGGTGTTCCTGCGGCAATGACTGGTCTAGAAACCGCAACAAACGCACATTTGCAGCATGAGCGTCGCACGTTGTAAGTGTGCATTGAAACCGGGCAGGACAAATTGAATTGAAACCACCAGGCCCGCTCGGAAGCGCACTCCACATTGTCGAAGCATTCATGTTTGGAAACAAGGCTTGTGGAGGTCGGAAAATGCGTTCTTCTGTGACATCCCCTGAGGAGCCATAGTTCCAATGCCCATGTGAACACAAGACCGAGGTGGCAGTTGCCGCTTCGTGCTGAAGGCTCAATGAAAACGTAGACTCATCAAACATGAGGCTCCGAATCCAAAAATCAAGGCTACCCTGGGACCCAGTTTGCTGAACTAAAGCCATCCCACGATTTTGCCCTTCCAAGATGGCTGAGGCAGTGACAAATCGACACCTTCCAGCATGCTTTGGCCCACCTCCTTCAATGCTGCTGGCGATTTGTCTGGAAGTTGCTGACCCTGAGCTGAATCCAGCACGCAAAACAGCGGGCGCGGTCCACCGTTTCCATTTACCTTTGAACCTTTGCCTTTCTCTGTTTTTCGCTCAAAGTCATTTGCTGAAGCTGGAAACGCATGGTCGGCCCCTCTAGCACGGCCACTGGCATTGTATTCATTTGCCTGTTGGTCCACCAAGCTTTGTTTTTTCTTCAACCTTTGCTTTCTGGTTCGCTTCTGTTTGGCGTGTCTTAGCAAACCCGGTCGAAGACCTGCCCCAAACCTCTGCCGCGCAGTAGCTCTATTATTACTTGGCCTCGGCTCTGAACATGTCTCTTCGTTGGGATGTGTATCTTCGATGATGTTTAAAACATCATCCAGACTCAACTCCGCCATTGCCCATGCTGACAACACAAAAGATTAAGCCAAACAGCTGCCAGCAACTCTTGGGCACAACCAAGCACTGGTCATGTCAGCATCAACTGGCGCTGTGCGCAATCAAGTTGGTATTAGTTTTGTTTTGCCCTGCCCTGGTGGATACATCTTTCTCCTTGTATGTGTCCTGAATATGTCCGCACTTGTGCCATGATTCTGTACTTCCAAGCTATGGCCATTCTTGATCTGGTACTCCCAACTAGCTACAGATGACCCAAAGATCAAGCAAACATATGTATGTTCACCAATGCATTTCTTGTATGAACAAAAATACCTTGGAAAATCCAAGATATTTTATAAAAAGATTATATTATTAAATGTATTTTATTGATATTGTTTTAGATTTATTGTTTTGTATTGTTTTATATTGTTTTATTGTTTTTTTTTGTTTTTTTTGTTTTTTGATTTTTTCATTTGTGGTGGTTTACAGGGGTAAGCCTGTGAGGGCTCCCACAGGTCTTCTTAGATTCAATCAAGAAATTGGTCTTAATCAACAAGAATCATGGGTTTGACGGACAAACAGTGGGTTTAAGCTTCAAAATCCAAGAATTGTAAAAGCTCATTGCCCTGGCATTCTTGTCGGAATATACTATCTTGCAACTCGTTTACAAGTCTCAGAACCCACCAAAAATCAACTCAAAACATCTTGAACACTGTCACTTCTTCAACATGAGGCAAGGCCACCATCAACAAAAAGCAACAAAAGAGTCGTTGATACATGGATCCGCTTGGTAGATCTGGTTGATGGGCAAAGCGTTCTTCATGGTTCTTCAAAGTACGACATCATAATGTAAATACAGGTGGATACATGACTTTTGAACAAAACACATGTTTTGGGGGATTTGAAAGAATCCGCTTGACAAATCCCACATAGATACGCAAGATGGACTGTAGGTCGGTGGCCACCTGCAAAAGCAGGTAACCTGACGGGTCGTAAAACCCCAGCAGTGAGGGAAGCTGCCCGTTTTTCGGCCGAGGCCATGGTCTTCCAGAAAGTCAGTTGTGAAGGTCTGGGACTTCTGAGCAAATGTGAAGGCAGGAATCAAGCCCACAGCTTCCGACGAAGAAGGAAGAAGTATCTCACAAAGCAGGACTGAAAAGCTCTCCAAGATATATCCAAATAAAAACCAATAGCCATAAGTGTCGCAGTGATGTGTGGAAAACAAGTCATCACACGAAATGTCACTGGGTAAGCTGACTGTCCAGTACAACTGAAACCTTTAGAGATTCGGAAGCAATCAATAAGCTTCTGCTTGGCTTGGGTGAAATCTCCAGCCTGACTACCCACCAAGCACAACTCATAAAGTGTCGCAGCAATGCTTGGGTGATCCCTATCTCCATGAAAGGAGCGCTTCATTCGCAAGGACACCTCCAGCCGCAGTTTGGCGTGGATGAGATCTCCAGCCTGCAGACTCAGCAAGTCCAACAGAAGTGTTGCAGCAATCACTGGGTCATCCCTATCTCCATAAAAGGAGCGAATCGTTTGCAAGCACACCTCCAGCTGCAGTTTGGTTTGGGTGAGATCTCTAGCCTCGCGACTCAGCAAGTCCAACGCATGAAGTGTTGCAGCAATCACTGCGTTATCTCCATGCAAGGACCGCATCATTCGCAAGAACTCCTCCAGCTCCAGTTTGGCTTGGGTGAGATCTCCAGCCTCGCGACTCAGCAAGCCCAACGCATGAACTGTTGCAGCAATCACTGGGTGATTTCTATCTCCATGCAAGGAGCGGTTCATTCGCAAGGACTCCTCCAGCTCCAGTTTGGCTTGGGTGAGATCAGCCCGCAGATCCGTATCTCTGTGACAGGACCAGTTCATTCGCAAGGACTCCGCCAGCTGCTGCTTGGCTTGGGTGAGATGTCTAGCCTGCAGACTCAGCAAGTCCAACGCATGAAGTGTTGCAGCAATCACTGGGTGATTTCTATCTTCATGCAAGGACCGCTTCATTCGCAAGGACTCCTCCAGCTGCAGTTTGGCTTGGGTGAGATCTCCAGCCTGGCGACTCACCAAGCCCAACTCATGAAGTGTTGCAGCAATGTCTGGGTGATCCCTATCTCCATGAAAGGAGCGCTTCATTCGCAAGGACTCCTCCAGCCGCAGTTTGGCGTGGATGAGATCTCCAGCCTGCAGACTCAGCAAGTCCAACGCATGAAGTGTTGCAGCAATCGCTGGGTCATCCCTATCTCCATGCAAGGACACCTTCATTCGCAAGGACTCCGCCAGCTCCTGCTTGGCTTGGGTGAGATGTCTAGCCTGCAGACTCAGCAAGTCCAACGCATGAAGTGTTGCAGCAATCACTGGGTGATTTCTATCTTCATGCAAGGACCGCTTCATTCGCAAGGACTCCTCCAGCTGCAGTTTGGCTTGGGTGAGATCTCCAGCCTGCAGACCCAAAGATCCCAAGCCATGAAGTGCTGCAGCAATGTCAATGTGTGGGTGATCCGTATCTCTGTGACTGGACCGGTTCATTCGCAAGGACTCCTCCAGCTGCTGGTTGGCTTGGGTGCGATGTCTAGCCTGCAGACTCAGCAAGCCCAACTCATGAAGTGTTGCAGCAATCACTGGGTGATCACTATGTCCATGCAAGGACCGCTTCATTCGCAAGGACTCCTCCAGCCGCAGTTTGGCTTGGGTGAGATCTCCAGCCTCGCGACTCAGCAAGCCCAACGCATGAACTGTTGCAGCAATCACTGGGTGATTTCTATCTCCATGCAAGGAGCGGTTCATTCGCAAGGACTCCTCCAGCTGCTGCTTGGCTTGGGTGAGATCTCCAGCCTGACGACTCACCAAGCCCAACTCATGAAGTGTTGCAGCAATGTGTGGGTGATCCGTATCTCCATGGCAGGACCGGTTCATTCGCAAGGACTCCTCCAGCTGCTGCTTGGCTTGGGTGAGATCTCCAGCCTGCAGACTCAGAGAGCCCAACCCATGAAGTGTTGCAGCAATGTCTGGGTGATCCATATCTCCATGCAAGGACCGGTTCATTCGCAAGGACTCCTGCAGGGTCAAAGGCTCACGTAGGACGACTTTTGGTGGGTTTAGGGGACCAGCATGGTGGATCAGACCTTTAGGGTTTGACTTGGGGACACGGGGCTGGGACATGGGGTGGGTTTAGGGGACCAGCATGGTGGAACCTGATGCGTTGTAACATGTTCATACATTTTCTTCAAGTCACTTTCAAGACGTTCCTGATACGTTGTAACATTACATTCAACTAACTTGCCAAATTTTCCTCATACGTTGTAACATCTTCTGTAAATAACTTGCAAGACGTTCCTGATACGGTACGTTGTAACTCTTCTTCAAGTAACTTGCCAGATGTTCCTGATACGTTGTAACATCTTCTTCAAGTAAATTGCAACACGTTCCTGATACGCTGTAACGTCTTCTTCAAGTAACTTGCAAGACGTTCCTGACACGTTGTCACATCTTGTTCAAGTAACTTGCAAGACGTTTCTGATACGGTGTAACATCTTCGTCAGCATATGATTCAATGACAATTTCCTGATGATCATCTCTAATACACATGTACAAGCCTCTTGAAATATCTTGAAATCATGTTCAAATACATCGATATATCTTTCTATTGAGACTGTAGCCATATAACACCGACGTAGTCCTAAGCGAGAAAAAACGTAGGCCTAAGCGAGGCACTGACGATCCTGCAGCTGCTGTTTGGCTGGGTGAGATCTCCAGCCTGGCGACTCACCAAGCCCAACTCATGAAGTGTTGCAGCAATGTCTGGGTGATCCCTATCTCCATGAAAGGAGCGCTTCATTCGCAAGGACACCTCCAGCTGCAGTTCGGCGTGGTAGAGATCTCCAGCCTGGCGACTCACCAAGCCCAACTCATGAAGTGTTGCAGCAATGTCTGGGTGATCCCTATCTCCATGAAAGGAGCGCTTCATTCGCAAGGACTCCTCCAGCCGCAGTTTGGCGTGGATGAGATCTCCAGCCTCGCGACTCAGCAAGCCCAACGCATGAACTGTTGCAGCAATGTCTGGGTGACTTCGATTTCTGTGTTTGTTCTGCAACTCCAGAAGTGTGTGTTCCATTTCCTGCATTTTTGTCTCGGTCCCACCCCCAAAGTTCTTTTCAGGTAGGTCCGCCAGTTGGGCCTCCCCTTGTGTCGTCCCTTGTGTCCGTGTCTCACTCCATGTCACTTTCGTGACTGTTCCCGCAAGGCGTGCGTCCGGGTGAGATGGGACTGTGGGATGCGTGAAGGCAGCTGACTCAGCGGCATCTGGAGCCATCTCCTCAGGGTATACCTCCACCCGCAGCAACGGATGGAGCAGCTTCTCAGCTCTCCGCGCAGCATCAATGATTTTTGTACACGTTGCTTTCCGCAAAGGCCTTGCATCTACACGAGCCATATCGTTTGCAGAGTGGCGAATGGCTTCGAACAACTCCCAGACAGTCTCCTGTTCCTGGTCCTGAAGGGCAAACACAGCAGTCAGATTCCAAACCAGAAGATATTGTGGGACAAGGGCGGAGACCGTGCTATTTCTAGGTGTACACCTAGCCATTCTCACGGGAAACCTTCATTGACGTGCTGGCAGTGTTGCTGGGTGGAGAGATCCATGTATGTGACTCAAGTAGTGAGCTCACCTATGTTGGAAATAATGCAATAGTTGCAAAACGCTCAACAACAAACTAGAATCTCGTTCAAGCCAAAAAGGTGGTTGATCTACAAAATAGATTAGATCCAAAACCTGCTCGTCTCTACTACTACTACTACTACTACTACTACTACTACTACTACTAGTACTACTACTACCACTACCACATTCCCTGCATCAATTTCGCCAAAACGTCTTCAGAGAAAGTCAAGAATCCATCCACCAAACTAGAAATGCACTGAAAGCATCCAGCCGGACAGTCGCGAGGTGGGGCCCAACAAATATCAACAAATCCAGTACATGCAGAATGTTCCAAAAGGAAAGCAACAAACACAACAAAATGGAGATTGCAACGCGGAAGACGAGCAAACTTCTGCCCTATGAACTTGGACAAAATAGGCATGCCTTTATCAAACTCCACTGCAAACACATGAATATTGGTCTGCAATCACATGAATTCCCTTTGCAAGATGAATTTCGGATCAATTCAATCAATTGATCAACTCAGTTCTTCGCAGAATGTTTACCCCCTTGAAACCATGGGCCATGGGCTCTATAGTTACAAGCTTCAAGTCCAAACATAGAGCACCCGAAGCAACATACCCCTGTTTGAGGGCAAACATGCCTCTGCAGTTTGTTTCAAGAGGTTATGTTGGAGAGAACCACCTGCAAACGCCCTGCACACTTGCTCCCTGGAATCAATCGTGCCATCCCCCACAGGTCCTGATGGTCCTGCCCTTCTGGTTCCGGGTTTTCCGAATATGCTTCATCAGGGGAAACACCAAGCAATTCTTGGATCTCCATCGCCAACTTCCGTATGGAGGACGCAATGTCCCACACCTCGGCCGCCGCCTCATCTTGAAGAGCCAAGTCTTCTTGAAGAGCCAAGTCATATTGAAGAGCCAACTCTCTGATCTCTTTGAACTTGGCCACGATCCTAAGTTGATTGGGCCCAGCGCAAGCGACTTAGATGCCCCACGCATTCAGATCTCCAAACTTGAGGCCAACGGCAAGGGACAGCTTGGTGGGCGTTTCAATGGAAGCCATACTAAGCAATAACGTTTATACAACTGAGCAACAAAGAGAATAACTCAGATATAGAAAACAGAGGCAGCTACTTACAAAGCTGCTCGTGACAATAACAGAAATTAGTAGTGGTGAAAGACAGCAATTAGCAGTGGTGAAAGTCATGATCGTCATTAAAATAAAATGATCGTTATGAGGTATGATTGTGAATTATGCCTATGAATAATTATGTATATATGTTGTATATTGTTGTATATGACTATGGTAATTACTGTGATGATGATGATCATGACGATAATGATGATGATGATGATGATGATGACGATGATGATGATGATTCTGATGATGCTGATGATGATGCTGCTGATGGGGATGAGGATGAGGATGAGGATGAAGATGAGGATGAGATGATGATAATGATGATGATGATGATGATGATGGTGATGATGATGACGATGATGATGATGATTCTGATGATGCTGATGATGATGCTACTGATGAGGATGAGGATGAGGATGAGAATGAGGATGAGGATGAGGATGATGATGATGATGGTGATTCTGATGATGATGGTGGTGATGGTGATTCTGATGATGATGATGATGATGATGATGGTGATGATGATGATGATGATGATGGTGGTGATGGTGATGATGATGATGATGATGATGATGATGATGTGATGATCTGATGATGATGATGATGATGATGATGATGATGATGATGATGATGATGATGATGATGTGGTGATGGTGATTCTGATGATGATGATGATGATGATGATGGTGATGGCGATGGTGATTGGTGATTCTGATGATGATGATGATGATGATGATGATGATGATGATGATGGTGATTCTGATGATGATGATGATGATGATGATGATGATGATGATGATGGTGATGGTGATTCTGATGATGATGATGATGATGATGGTGGTGATGGTGATTCTGATGATGATGATGATGATGATGATGATGATGATGATGATGGTGATGGTGATGGTGATTCTGATGATGGTGATGATGATGATGATGATGATGATTATTCTGATTCTGATTCTGATTCTGGTGATGATGATGATGATGATGATGATGATGATGATGGTGATGGTGATGGTGATGCCTCCACCCTAAGACAGATCTTCTCCCGAAAGACAAGACGAGGAAAAGACCCAGGACAACATGGTGGCGAGCCCCTGCACCCTGAAATTATCATGTGATTGGGTATGCCTGCTCCTCCATCAACCTTGCTAAAGCAAGAGCAAATTCAGATAGAAGGTAGTTTTCATGTACTGATGCACTGATTCCATTCTACTGGCTGCTTTATAGGGATTCCCCGTTCTTGGATTATTATACTCCCCAATATATTGGGTATGCACACACATTCACAAAACAACTTGCCCGATTTGGGCACAGGTCTGGGAATCATGGGTCTGCAAACTTCTCCAAGGATCTGTTGCTCTATGGGGAGCTCAGCCATGACAGTTGCGCGGGAGAGCGAGCTTTTGTCGCTGCTCTGTTTTCCAATGCAACCTGTACTGAATTTCCTCAAAATTGAAGAACTTATACCTATACCGAACTTATCGCCATTTCAATCGGAAAAAATTAGGTTTTTCAACCACTGGATGTAATTTTCCAACGAGCACAATGGGCTCCCAACGGCTCAAATCAATGCTACCCTGCCAGAGAAATGGGCGCCCCATACGGTGAAAAATGAACTGAGGCTTGATTGGCCCTAAGGCTGTTTCCATTCTGCACCAATGCATAGAAACACTCAACCGGATTCCAGATTTTGTCCGGAAGCTTGAGCCTTGCAAGCGTTTCAAGCGTTTTTGACTGGAGGACTGCATTGAAGGCTTTCACCCAGTGAGGTAAAATTAGAAACCTAACCCAAATGTGCAATTCTCAAAACACCAGAAGTATGCAGGGGTCTGATATCCACCCTCCTTTGTGGACTACACCACCAAGATTTACCCACACCTGAGACTCGACCAAGGTCTACCATGGTGAGGACTGGCCCTGCCTCCACATTCTTCAGCTGGCCCAAGGCGGCTGCATCCGTGACCACCTTCGCCAGGCCTGAAGTTAGGTGCGCCACCTGTGCAGAGATCCAGGCGTCCCACGAGGAGATGTCAAATGTGGCAGAAATCATATCAAATCTTCATGGTCTCCATTCACACGTCGATTAAAACAATAGGAAAAGGTAAGCAAAGCTCAACATCATGAGTTTTACAAAGAATGATCAACATTAACATCAAGCATCAATTACCATGCACCCGGCAACTTGAACAAGGTTGGAACCTATTCCAGCCTGCACCGAAGCCAGGTCTTGCTGCCAGGAACGGACCAACTCCTGCCGTGAAAAAATTGCTGGGCGGGTGCTCCAATGATTGAGCCACAGCTGTATATGATGATTCTGTTGTAATATGTTGTAATACATGTCCATATGATATGAACTGAATATATGATTTCATTTTACTGTGATCTTCTCTCATCAATCTCCTCATTCCTATGTTACAAGAATTATGCTTGCCAGAATTTTCCGGATTCAAAAATCTTCAAACATCTTCACATCACAAATCTTCAGAAATCTTCAAAAATCTTCAAAAATCGTCAGAAATCTTCAAAAATCTTCACCAACTTCCGAAAAAAATTGGGCATGTTGGTCGGATCCCGCGCCTCCACAGACTTCGTGCCATCCTTGGTGACCTCACGGAAGAGCTCCTCCCGGGCCTCGCGCCAGCTGCCCAGCTTAGAGATGGAAAAATTGGAGAAAAGATATGGAAAGCATATGGACCTACTGAACCTTTTACATCCGATTTACCCACTTGTTGTAATCTTTTTTTGGGTGATTTTTAAGGAACAGATGTTCGATGAAAATAATCACCCATAACGGATTTTCATGGATTTTCTAGACATATATTGGAAAATGGAATGGAAAATAAATGAAAACTGTTCAATGAAAACCCAATGAGAATGGATCAACGTTTGTTTTATCTGTTCTTTTCATGGAACGAATGTAGAGACGTATACGTATCAGCGGAAATGATGCTCCAATCAGTCTTGATTCAATATCGCAACATGTGAGCACAGTTTGAGAAAGCTTGGCATTTGTAGACCACCTTTCCACACCCTCTCCCGTGTATCTGAATTGGGGCATGTGATTTTGCCAAAGATGGGCATGGGTCAAAATTTGTTACCCACAAATTGGACGGTCTCAGATCCGGTCCACCAACCCCAATGACTTGGCCCATACCCAACTCTCCACATTCAAACACAATGATCCAATGGAAAGTGAACAAACACATTGCATCCAATGGTTGATGAGCATGAGTACATCCCCCATTTCTAGACCATTCTAGACCCATATCAGATTGTTGGTTGTGGCTCTATAGCCCGTTATACCCAATAAAATCCCTTGGTTTGATTTTCCTTTGTTTGGCAATGCCCATTCAAAAAGCCTAAATCCCCCAAGTATTTGAGCTTCCGTCACCATTCTCTTGCTGGTTGGTACGTGATATTTCACTTCCCACATTTTCTGATTGGTGGTTTCAACCCCTCTGAAAAATATGAAAGTCAGTTGGGGTTACTATTCCCAATATATGGAAAAATAAAAGCCATGTTCCAAACCACCTCAACCAGCTTGATGTGTTCACTCCCCACTTTTTAAGGCCCAACCCTCCCAGAAATCACCGGAAAACTCCATCCCGGCCATCCCGGCCTCGCTGAAGGCTTCGCCGCTCTGAACCACATCCACCACCCGGTCGCCAAAGGCCGACCCCTGCGGCGCCGCCTCCGGCAGCGCGTCCGGCTGCAGGTGGCCCAGGGTCTTGGGGCCGGCAGACTCCAACCAGAGCTCCTGGGGTCGTGAAACAAAAACCACAGGTTTGATGGGTGCTGAAATGTGCTGAATAATGGGATTCTTGTGGTTCGAATCGGGCATTCACCACCATCAACCGCTATTTGGGGTTACCATTGGAAGGCCCTCTGCCGATCCTGGAGCTGTGGCCGTAACTTCTCGATGTTGATCTGTCCCAGCATACCATCAACACTCTGCGCTTCTTGTTTCAATACCTCAGCTGACTGAGAAAACAAATATCCGGAAAAAATTGGAAAGATCAGGAGAGCTGGAAAAAATATCCACATTACATCCAGCAGTATGGTTCCTCGACCTGTCTGACATTTTCTGAGGAAACAAGCACCGCCGAGCAGCGAGATTCGTGGCGGCCACCCGCGACTCAACCCATCGCTTCACCGCTTCATCGTTACCGTCCAAGCGGCCCAGCTGTTGCTGTTTCCAGTTTTCGGACAATTTCCTCGAGACAAACAGAAAATGTCATTACCCATAGGATCCATGGTGCTGGTATATATGCTAACATAAAGGGGGTATATTGATGGGATCCATGTTACCATATATGGCATACATGGATCCTATGGGTTAGGAAGCATTCAACATCATCCAACAATTTCCCAAGCATCATATCCAACACACTCCCAACCATGAGAAATTCCAGCTTCGGATCAGGTTGATGAGTTTACGGCCACCCAATGACATCTGGATACATCCCGATGTCATTGAGACCGCGACAGGCTGCCGAGCAGCAGTAAATCTGCTTCCAAGTCCTGAGGATCAGCGGTTGTCAGTTGCTCCAGAAGCGCTTCTGTAGCCTTCAAAACCTGCAGAAGTCCACAGCAACTGATGGATGAACCCAGTGTTTGGGCTGAGACATTGAAATTTGGTTTGGAGCTGCTTGGCCGAACCATTTTTTTGGGGTGAAAAATTACATACAAAATGCACAAGATGAAAATGTCCAAGATCATAATTAAAATATTCCCCACTTTTCCGCACCTGCACTGCCTCACGAACTTGAGAGGTGCCCAATGGTCCCACAGCACTGCGCAGCATGGAGGTCTTCAAGAAATCGGCCAAGCCTCGCGCCGAGTTCAAAGAACGATGAAAGGTCTAGGTCTTGGTCCCTTTTGTGAAGGTTGAACAGAGCATGTCTTCTTCAATGGATGATCCAAAAACCCATGACAAACCCATTGAAACCCAGCTTGCCAAAAGTTTTTACTCTGATTTCCCAACGAGTTCCCCAAACTCCCCAGCCGTTGCTGTCCGGCGGCCTTCCACCAGGCGCCCGGTCTCGGACTCCACGACGACTCCTTGAGCCTTCAGCTGCTCGATCTTCCACTCTTCGCAGATGGCGTTCAGCTCCGGGGTCTCCAGCGACCTGGCGAAGGGCGGGCGAAGGACCTGAAGGACCTGAAGGACCTGTCAGGATGGGGATCTTGGCACATCTGGGTGGGCAACTCCCATCCGGTGACAAAAGTTGTTCCTCTTTGGAGCTTCCCACAAGCCCTTCCACCATACCTACAACCATCCTGCTTCTTGCGGATCACGGATTACTTCCTGCAACCATTGAAATAAGTGTAGTTTAAAATTTTAAAACGTCCCTTAAATTCGATCTGCCACGCATGCCACACAAAATGCCCTTGAAATCTGATCCACATCATGATATCGTATTTTATGGGGTCATTCATGGAAAAAAAACTATTCCTCTTGATGTATCGAAATATTATGAGATATCCAGTAGAAACCACTAGAAACCATAGAAATACGCTAGTTACAAACTCGGTTGGCGAACTGAAATCACATATATCCTTGTTTGGTAAGCGAGCATTGAATGACTTCCAGAACATGTACTTTGCGCACAATGTATGTAGCAGCCATCCACACCAGCAAGCCTTGACTGCAAAGATCTATGCTCCAACTGTGCCAGCAGTTCTTCTCCAGCTTCCAACACCTGCAACTTGAGGCCAGTCAAATGGTTAGATTGGTTTAAGGAAAAAAAAAACACAGGAAAGCCCAATCAATTTGATGGTTTAAAAAAAAAACAGTTTTCGGTTAAGATATTCCCTTAAACCAATGCAATGAGTCATAGGAGATAGTTGGTTTCTGCTTTTCTATGAGTTTTTCTATGAACATGTGGATGGAATTTGGATAGATTCCGCGTGAGGTCACCAATGTACATTGCCAAAATTCATTCAGCGAGGTCGTGATCTCGGTGTGCTACATTTGCTACGGCTCCCTGGTAGTATCCCTACCTTCCAAAGCAATGGCTGAGAAACATTGGGAAAATGAAACATATGACATACTGACATAGTCCGAAAAAGTGGAGAAACATTTATTTGATGGGGGAAAACCACCAATATTCTCAACCACAAAGATTGGTGCTTTCCATGTTCCATCCATCATTCTCAGACACACCCACATCATGTAGCTGGTTCTATATCCCATTCTATCCCATGATATCCCATTGCATCCCATTATACCCAACTATATTCCTACAAACAAACAAAAAAAACATTCTACCCTCTATTCCCATGACTTTTTTTAGCCCATTCTACCCACTTTATATCCCCATAGAGTGGTTGATTTTTTTACACCCCACACCTCCGCTGACTTCATGGCTGCAGCATTCACATCCACTGGACTGCTCTCTGCCATCGCCTCGCGGCAGTGAGAGCGGCCCAAGCAAAAACATCAGCCAACTCATTCAAAATGGGTGGTTTTATCATCAGAAATGGGAAGCTTGACATGATTCAACCATCAAGAAATGGATACATAGCCAATATATGCCAATATCAGATGAAAACAACCTCGTTGAAGGTTAGTTTCATGGTACATGTTTGGGCTCTGTTGTGACTGGTTGTGGTCCCTTGGAAATGATCAACTCCAACAGCCATGGAAATTGATGGTGGACTGAAACTGAGAGCCGCCACATGGAAATGTCATGCGTCCAACATTTATAGAAATTTAGACCCTCCAAGTAACTTCAAGTACTCATAAAAATTGGTTAAAAATCCCAAGATGTCCCAAGTCATAAGGGTCTAGGAAGCCACATTTCAATACATTTTTCAGCTATTCTCCACCAGTCTGATGCTTCTCTGACGCCTCAGGCATGGTGTCAGGGATTTTTCCTTGCTTCCAAGCCTGCACAGTGAGTCACCACCGGGTTTTTGGAATGATGCTTTGTCTGGAAATAGGGTATCCATGGGGATCAACATTGTCCCCTTTAAAACTGCCATTTCTGGAACGTACAGCCCATTTTCAGCCACACCCTTGTACGATATGGGGTACGGATGCAGGAACACAACATCAAGCCAGGATATGAACACCATAGAGACTCTCTCCTCACCTCTTCAATTGCGGCCCGCAGCCCTGCGAAGTCTTTGCCAGGTGCACGGGAAATCACACCTGGTTGGCAGCAACGCAGGCTATGGTTTCTGATTCAATGGATGGTTTCTTTGGGTAAAATCTCACGGTTGAAAGTTAAAACCATGCTTTCTACCCCCCAATGTTAAGGGCAAACCTTGTATATTATATAATACTGAGTAATACTGTATATACCGTAAAAGTTGAATCTGTGCGACATGCTCTATCAAACAGAAAAACTGGTGGAAGTAGCACCTCACCTGCACAGGGTTTCAACCAATTGGTAGTTCAACCGACCATCCGTTTGGTTCTGATTTCGCGGCTTAGACTACTTTAGGAACCCAGTAAACGTTCACATAACTATGGAAAATCACCATTTTTCATGGGTAAATCAACTATAGATTGCACTTTTCAATAGCTATATTAATTTAGCAGAGGGTAGAACCCCCATCCTCTGATTTCTTCCAAGCAGCTCCGTGCCAGCTGTGCCATCTGCGCCACATTTGCTGCAGCGTCAGGCAGGAGACCCACCTGCCGCTGTTGCCACTGCGTCACCGTCTTTGACACGGCCTGGCGGCACGTGGTATCACCAAGGCAGCTGACCTAGAGTTCAATTGGCTGGCCTCCCACTCCACACCGACCATCCCCGCATCGACCATCCTGTAATTGTCCCACAATCTTTCATTTCCATATATCGTTGGGTTGACAATAATCAGATTTTCCCACAAACTTCGGACTTTCTTGGCTTTACAACAGTTCTCCGATATTTTTTCACATTAAGTCTCCCACACTTTTCCCAGGTCATGTCTCTCGTCAAACTTCGCCAGACGAGAGACCTCTGCCGGGAAAGCTTCTCGCGTCTCAAGGACATTCGATAGTTCCACCAGCAGCTGATCGCCAGCAGTGCGAAGCTTCATCTCCACCGTCTTTTGTTTACCTCACCGTGTTGGCTGTGCAGCTTTGGGGGAGTTGACCAGCAAAAATGCTGGAAACCAAGCATTTTGGGGTGGAATGTCATGGGATGTAACAGGATAAAACTGAAAAAAATGATGGATTTAACCATGAAAATTTGGTAAAATGATACTTTCAATGGGGGATTATGGCACATCTCAGAAGTGCTGTGCAGCTGACGCAAATCATTCAAAATTGCTGTGCATTCTTTACGAAGCATCACGATGAATTCGATTTCATTGGGGTGACCATGTGATGCATGTTATAAACAAAACCAGATTGGTTCCACGAAAATCAAATCTGAATTGTGACACGTGTTTCATGTCTCTTTACAGAAAAAACCATCTGTTTCAAAACTACCACATGAAACATCCACATGTGTCCTTCAACATCTCTAAAACATCCAAAAAAAAACATCTTACACAAAATCATGAAAAATCCCAGTGGCTGTTGCTGGAAAGCTCCTCCAAGCGTTCCTTGAGACTTTTGCTCTTCTCCATTTTGGGCTCCGCGGCATCCTCTGGTTCCGGCAGCTCCGCGTCGAGGCTGTGAGGATCGCGGAGCTCCACCGTGGAGCTTTCGGGGCGCGAGGATTTGGGCGTCTGGCCGTGGATCCTGGGGGAAAGGTCAACGGTTGGTGGCCCGAAAAACGGGATGAAACGCCCAAAAAAAAGAGGTGGATGGGCCCAAATGGTTCCATGGCCATCATCTATCATCATCTTATATAGGCTATATAGGTATTAAAGATAGCTATGAACATAGCAATTTCAGGGGATGCTTGGAGATGTTTGGACTGACATGAAAGGACTGGGTATCGTTTTAAATATAGCAAATAAAAACACGTTTGGGGGGTAAACCCCCTGATTAATTCGTAAACTACCAAGGTTTATTTTGCTGGGCTGACATTACAGGACTCTCCATGTCTGGCTGATATCTTTGGAATATCATTTATGTCCTTGACCAAAACTGAAATGTGTAGCACTGCTCAGCCCAGTCCGATGTTTGACCAAGCTTCTTCTGGATGACTGCACTGGTGACAGCCATCTCGATACTTTGGATTGCCACAGCAGCTGCCGGATCTTCAAAGGGCCAACGATTGCGCCACTCTTGTCGTACTTCTATGAGATCTTTCAGGACCTGAATTTAGGCCCCGGGACCATGGTGCCCTACCAACCGTGGAAAGGCTTGGAATGGATATGAATGGATATGGGTCTGTCTGAAAATGCTAGGAATTGACTTACAAATTACAAAACTTAAAAGGGAAAAACATATGTTTAACTTTTTAACCATGAAATTGAAACTCTTACCCTAGTTTCAGACAAGCCCATAATATGATATGTCCCTCCTTGGCAGGGGTAACCCGTGTGTAGAGTAATTCGCGGGGTCAGCAACTAAATGGGCCCCCATACTCTGGGTAGAACCCACTCTGACTTTTCTTGCCTCTGATAGTTCTTCTGCTGCGTAGATATGATTTATAGTGACAGTGCGTTGTAATAATTAGCAGAATGCCGCCATAATTGTGGAGTTGTCATTTGGGTAACATTATTTAACTATCTTTGACCATCTTTAACCCCATTTGCATCTCCAAGTTACAACCCTCACTGCAGAATGTCAACCAAGATACAGCATCTGGAGCAGATTTGGCGTTGACGGTCCGCCTGAGCGTGCAACATGCAAATTTGGATGCGAGACCATCGCAACTGCACCTTTCATGAATTTGTTGCACAACATTGCACAAATATCACCAAACGTCAAAGAAATCATACAACTTGCACCCAAAACTGACATCTCTGATTGTCAAAAATTGGGTACCCCAATCCATCAAACGATTTGAAACCTCGTTTGCCACATTGTTTAACGGCATTTAGTTAATGGCTAAATATATTATATATTATTATAATATATATATATATATTGAAATGTTCCTCATTTCTAGACAACCCCACATCACACCGTATGAACCCATTATGGATGGTTTTACAGCCAGTACATCCCAATGTCTGATGGTCGAATCCCCACAACGCCGCGCCGCGCCTGACGATTCGGATGAGATCTTCGCCGGCTTCAAAGAGTTCTTCCCGCTTCCTGGGGGACCGGGACGGAGTGCAGTTCAGCTGCGGTTTCTGCTGAAGCTTTTGATGTGGGATTTTTTGTGAATCATTTCTTGTGGGAGATATGTAATATCATTGAAAGAGATAGTGGAATAGAATGGGATGTAATGGGATATAATTGTGGGAACTATGTAATGGAATATGATTAATTACTATGAATTGCTGCTACATGACATACTTGAGATATCTTGGGATACAACCAGATGCAGGTCTTCAAGAGTTTTGGATAGTGTCCTTCAAAATGAAACTTGAAGATGGAACCAACATGAACCAACCATGCAATGCTTAAATGTAATTGGATACAGCTGTGACATCACATCAGAATGATTTTGGCCTTGTCTCATGGGGGGGCGTCCAAGTTATGGTCATCCCAATGAGGTGAAATCATCACCATGATATTTTTTGGGGAGAACTCAATTTTCTGCAAACCCTTCTTGAAGATGCTTGAAATTTCACGGCTGATGATGGAAAAACAACACCAAAACACATGTTTTCATATATGTTTTCCATCGCCAAACTCCAGGGCTGCAGAGGTTCTCTTGTGGAAGCTGATCTGCTGATCGCACGTGCTTCTGCCATGCGTTCTGGATGACGGGGTCGAATCTCTCAAGGCTGACAAAGGGATCATCACCTGGGGAGAAAATGACCTGGAGAGGCCTGGAGAGGCCTGGAGAGGCCTGGGGAAATCCTCTGGTGAAACCATGGGTTTTTGATATGGGAGCTGTCCGAAAAAGGTGTCCGTACTCCAAAATAAATCATCCAAATTCATCCAGAATTTTACTATTGAAACCCATGAGTTTGGGGGGATGTCCATTTTAAGAAACCTCGGTAGATTGTTATACCCCTAGGCTTTCCTATAATCGTCCCATCAGCCAAGTTGCCGTTCAGCGCGACAGGATCGGAAAGGACTTCTTTCACGATCCTCATCTGAAGGTCTCATGGGAAATTCTTGCGCAATATGGCCATGTCAAGATTGGAGACAGGCTGCATCAGGATCAAAGTAACCTTTTTTGGGAGTAGATTACAGTAGAGATCAGTAGAGTTTCTCATCCAAAAGGGCCTCAACAGGAACGCACTTGATCCAAACGTGTATTCTTCAACAAACATCCATGCTTTATCATAATCTTCCCCAATATCTCTTGTTGTCAGACAAACCTGAAATCTGATGAAATCTGCATCTCCATGTTGTTTCTGATATTTCCATGACATCCCATCCACCCATTCGCCAGGAGTCTCCGCAATGGTCACTTGCGCCTCTCCAAACGCCATGCTCTTCTTCCATTGCTCCAGGAGCTCAGGCAACGCCGTAGCGTCTGCGCCGGCGCCGGTGGCGGCGCGGGCTTTGAAGAAGTCCTGGTGGCGATGGCGAAGATGACGACCATCCAACAATGTGGAGAACCCACCCAATTTCATCGTACTTGAAATACCTGGATTTCTGGTATGCCAAAATCTGAAATTCACTCAAAATCACCAGTGATCAATCCAATCCTTGCCAAAAACATCCAAAACATTAACACCTACGATTTCCTGGGCTGCACCAAGTACCCAGATGCTCCATGGTGCTGGAATATTTACCTACATGTGTGCCATTTTTGGGGTAAATGTAAGTAAATATTCCAGCACCATGGAGCATCTGGGGTAGAAATCCAGTGGCAAAACCCAAGCGCCGAGACCCAACCGACGAGACCCTCGTCTCCTGCAATTTCACCAACAGCTCTTCCCCGCCCTGCACTGCGGGAATGGACACCTCTGGTTGCGGTGGCCAGCCACTGGTCCTGCCGTGGCCACAAGCTGATTAATGTACTATACACATACGAGTACATATAGCATCATATAACATAACTGTTTCGAAAAGTCTTTGTATATGTTTGTAATTGACTAATTTCGTGCTGGTGTTTGAAATCTCTTCAGAAATCTCTTCAAATGCAGGCCTTTCATGGCAAGGTAGACTGAGGTTTTTTGGTCAGTCTTGAGATGGGGGATACCTCCAACCTGCATCCCCTGCGATCCCATCGAGTCTGCGGTATATTTCAAATTGGTGCCCCATAGCTCACTTGGTGAGTTATTTGCCATAATATAACTAACTCGGTTTTATCGTAGATATATCGAACTAGTTACTATGGTTTATAAACATTATAAATTTATAAACCGACGTTTACATCACCGGAGGGGGGCACCACCTTCTTTTGAAAGCCCCAAATCTAATCCACGCGAAACCCAGAAGTTGAGCAGTTGAGCCTCCTCGCATCTTGCATGTCTGCTTCCCCCTGGCGGCAACTTACACAGTTATCACAGTTACTTGTGTCACAACAATTGGTGACTAAATGGTGACACCATATTGGATTGAATCATATTAAATCATATTAAATCATATTAAATCCACAATTCACAAAATATCACAACATATTGAAGTGTTAAGCATAACAAGAGCGCCAAAGTTCATCACTTTCCCCGCAAAAATATCCATGGCGATCCAAGCCATCGGTGGACACCTTCGTCGCTGTCTCCTGTCGATTCCATTGGTTCATGGTTGCTTCATGACACAGGGGGTATGAAACCAGCCGTTTCGTGAGGATATGATGAGATCCCATGAATATGATCTGCAATGATATGCAGCCAGTTCAATGTGCAGGACATGATGTTCATTGATGTTCAATGTGGGATTTCGGATGATTTTTCAGGGTGGGGTACCCTATTTTAGCTCAGAAAAGAGCGGCATCGATCTGCTGAGTCCTCAATGCTTTTGACCTTCGTCTTCCATCTGGAACACAGCCTGGATCAGCATATGGCCGGTAGGTTTCGGTAGCACTTGATAGTCTAGTGATTAAGCTTAAGCAGCTTAACAATGTTGATAAATCTTGTCCAATTTTGGTGGCGCCAAAATTTGAACCTTTCAATATGCAGAACGGCTTGGTTACCATCAAGCTGTGAATCGCAAAATCTGCCTCGATGGCTTCAAAGCTTTCATGAAGCTAAGCTTTACGAGGCCATACTTCTTCAGTAGGAAGAGTCCTTCCACGGCTCGGGTGAACACCATAGTTTTACGAGGACAATTCCAACATGGATCAACAAGTTCACCAGGAATGAGTCGGTTGCATGTTGGCATGGCATAGCCGGTCTGAGGACAGTACGTTCAAGTCCTGTGCAATCTGATATATCACTGTCTCAATATGGATCTGCGTATCATTCGCCGAATTCCACGGACCAACAGGTCTGGGTCGCAGAGGCACAGCGGCACAGTCCTGAAAAGAGGGCCGCTCCTAGGCCGATCAAGGATCCGATGACGCTCACTGCCACAACGGCATCGTCCTTGCGGGGCGGGGCACTAAGATCGAAAACAGAACCATGAGACCATGAGCAGAAAGGGACACCCAGCTAACAAACTGCATTTCAAGAGAACATGAATAACATGGACTAGGATGAGTGGGATAAAGACTTGAGAGAATGCTTGAGCTGCATTAACATCCATATGTACTTCATATGTGTACTACATGTGGCTGTACTACTATATTAAATTCCCGTTTTACAATGGTTAAAATGTCTTAACACCATTAACACCCCCATGTTTGATGGATTTTGATGGTTACAGTCACAGATGTTGAGACCGGGTATGTGCACCTCCTCAGTCAGAAATAGAGGAGCAACGACCAATGAGTCATCGAAAGTGCTGGTTGTCGTGGCAAAGGATGTTGTGCTGGTGGCACTCGTTGCAACAATGCCTGCCATACTTCCAACTTCTGTGAAGTTGGCAATTTGAAACGATTAAATCATGATAATCATTCAATCCTCATTGGACAAAAGCCTGCTTTTCTCCAAAGCAATAGCTGATGTATAGACGGATGTTCACCTCCCAAATATAGGGGCCATAGATGGCCATAGGTTTTAAGACAAGCCCCACCCTTTCGAAGACCACCTTCCTGTGCAAAAAAAGAGTGAGTACGGCCCGTCTGCCCCAATGCCACAAGTCTTCCGATCCCTTTTGGCCTGTCAAATTCAGAGAGCTGGTTGTTATCTCAGATCCATTGAGGACCACCAAATATCCGTGTGGCAGGCTGGTGGTGCTGCTGGTGCTGGTCATGCTGTCTCCAGCGTCTGTGGTGCTCGTAGAGGAGCCACCCTGGAATGACACAGTTGTGCTGCTACTCCTAGTCACACTCCTGGTGCTTGTCAGACTCCTAGTGCTTGTCAGACTCCTAGTGCTTGTCAGACTCCTAGTGCTTGTCAGACTCCTAGTGCTTGTCAGACTCCTGGTGCTTGTCAGGCTGCTGGTACTTGCAGTGAACACTGTTCCAGTGCTTGTGGTGAAGGATGAGAATGTTGTACTGGCAGTGCTGGAGGTTGATGTTGTTGCTGTTTTTGTGCTTGTTCTTGAGGATGTGCCGGTGAATGAAGAGGTGCTGATGCTGGATGTGGACAGGCTGCTAGCAGTTGTGGAAAAGGTACTGCTAGTGCTGAGACTTGTGCTGCTACTTGTCCCAGTGACAGTGGATGTGGTGGTTGAGCTGACGGTTGCTGAGCTTGATGTTGTGCTGCTGCTGGTGCTCCTCGTGTCCGTTTTGCTGGTTGAACTGAAGGTGATTGTCGTTGAAGAAGTGGCAAGGGGGTCGGTGGTGGTGGTAACCGTGCGGGTTGAAGCGGTGCTGGTAGTGCTTGAGATGGTGGAACTGGAAGATGTGACAGATGTACTGGAGCTGGTTTGGGTCGTATCCGTGCTTGATGTGAAGGTGGAGGACGTGGTGGTTGTGGATACCTCCAGCTCCGCATAGAAACCAACCTCCAGCCGCACCAAAGGGCAACTCTTGGCAGCAAGTTAGCAACAATCTGAGGGCATTTCCCTTGTCTACCATCTGGTTATTTAACATAGCCATGGAAAATCACCATTCTTAATAGGTAAACCATCTATAAATGGGCCATTTTCCATGGCTATGTTAAATAACCAGATGGTATATTGGATGGCCAACAATTCAAGTCCAAATCATTCAGACAGTGGTTACGTCATGTTAAGTGCTACTCATTCCGAGCTCTTGACTGAAAGGTAGTAGCCATCACCTGCCGTCCTCGGGAAAACGTTAGACGCTGGGATCTGGCCTTTCCTGGAAAGGTATCACAAAAAGCTGCTAGCACCTGCTACAAAGACATCCCTCCGCTTGCTCAGGTTATAGTCACCACTAGTGATTGTGAGTTTTTTGCCATACCTACTAAACATGCCTTGATTTACCGCCAGCTCAGGTTTCTTGACTGCTACGTGTTCATATCAGCAAAGATTGAAATTGATCCTCCACACACTGGTCAATATTCCTGATGCATATACTACCTGATTCATACATGATGTTACTGTATATCACAGTACTGTACTATACATTATTGATCATTATGTTACCCTCTGGTAATTTAACATAGCTATAGAAAATCACCATTTTTCATGGGAAAATCCACTATTTCGACTGGGCCATCTATACCATAGCTATGTTAAATTACCAGAGGGTACATTCTATGTTCACTATACGTGCACTCTTACGTTAGAGACCCTTCTGATGACTGGGCTGCGGACACCACATCTTCCACGCCACCGCTGCCATCCAACTTGATCCGGTTGACCCTCAGGGCTCAAGATTCTTCAAGACACCATAACGAAGGGGCTTACCGTTTACGCAGATCTATAATATCTTTGTAATATCATATATATATACAGTATCTTTATAATATCTATATAATAATAATGATAATAATAATAGTATAATTAATTAATTAATTATATATAGATGGGCTAAGTCAAAGAACGGAGACTTCACCAGGACTGCAAAAATCAGTTGCTTTTTGTGAAAAATCCTCCACGGAGCTGCAACTGAGTTCCCAGCATTTCCGTGTCTCGAGAGAGCCAGTAGAGCGTCTGCGAAGCCACACTTAGTCAGACGAAGGCTTCGAAGGACAGCAAAATTTATCGCAAAATTCAACTATTCAATGGATTCACATGTAGCCAGCATTGCGGGAATAGAATTTTTCTGTGGTCATAATCAGTGTTCTTTATCCAGGAAATAGCTCGGTATGGTTCGATACTGCACAAGTCTTGTTCTCGCTTCTGCAGCTCCCAGTGCATGAAAGCAAGCAATGCAGAACTTATATGAAGAAAGCGGCTTTGAAGAGAACCATACTCCATTCCTTGCATCGTATCTTGCTAAAGAACGGTTTGTCAGTGTGCAGCTCCTTTCTTTCACAGCCTTTGATTCTGTCCACTGCCAGCAGGCCTGATGCTTTGACTCTGGCGAATGCAGTGTAAAACGTCGGGGTGGTCCTGGTTTCAGGACTCAGCTGAGAGGATTATCTCAGCAAGACGATGATCGCCACAACCTTGGAGATGGTGACTCCGGTGACTCCGCGAGCCGAGACCAGTGGTGTTTTTTAAGGAATTGGTCTAAGGGGCAATTTGCGGGAAACCATGGCTTATACCCCCATTTATATATATATATGTATATATACAAATATATATATATATATATATGCAGTATGTGTATATATATATATACATCTATAGACCAATTCAATTTGTTTTGGTCAACCCTGAATTCATACATCCTCGCTGAGCTGTGAGGGAAGGTAATTCCAAACGGGTGAAATAGACCAATTAATCCGGTGGGAGGGGCATGATATCATTCCAGGTTCAGCATTCCGAAAATGATGATACCAGTAATTTGCAGGACTTTTATGTGAGTGTGTCTGAAACTCTATCACAATCTGTCCACTTAAATCCACTGGGTAATTATCCCCTTTAAAATGGCCCTACAGGATGGTGCCCCCCAGTTATAAGTGGGTTTATAAACCCCATTAACTATAGTTATATCTGCCATGAACCATAGTTATGGGACTTATAAACCAACTTAGCTAACTATGGGGCACCACCTTGTAGGGCCATAGCCCATTTTCAGACACATCCAACTGTCGCCTGAGAATCGGCCCAGACACCGCCGCGGTGGCCACAGCAGTGGAGAGCAAACACGCAGGGCTCTGCCAGCGACAAGGGAAGAGTCCACAGATCCACATCCTGAGCTGGTGCTGTGTTGATCTATCAATAACTATGGTTTATAGGTGATATATCTATAGCTGGTTTTTAGGTGATATATCTACCAGTAGTACCGCACAAGGCGGTGGCGGAAGTTTCAAAAATAGGAAACCTATAGGAGAGGTTCGTTGTTGTGAAGCAGGGATGGCAGAGCGAATCCACTGATGGACCGAAAGGTGCTTGAGGTCTCCTCTCTTTCGCTCTCTTTCTCTGACTACGAGTCCGGGGGGTAACTTGCCCCAAAATCTATGAACTTACCCCACCGCATGGCACACCGCTTACCCCACGACCCCAAGAACTTACGCCATGTGCAAATCACCATGGCACACCGGCCCTCACGGACAGGTTTTTGGATTGGTTTGTTATTTTCCTAAGGGATTTGGTACATTTTACATCAGTTCGTGAATTTTCTGACCTCACCCCAAATGTCAAGGAACGCATGGCACACCTACAAATTGTTTTCTATCAACCCAAGTTCTCAGATGTAATTCCCATTGTCGGAACAACATATTTAATCTCTAAGAATGTCATCCATGATGGTTTTCCCCATTGGCACACCGAGTACATCCAAGTACTCAGGTAACAGTTTTCTTTTCTGCAGCCGATCACTTTGCCGATCCATGTATGTGCACATTGTTTTCATGAAGTTCCTATGCGGACTGCAACGCTTTGTACCGTTTATCTGTCTTAAACCTGACACAAAGCGTTGTAAACCGCATGGCACACCATCAACTTGACCTCCAGAAGACCAGGAGTTCTACATGTCATTCTCATTGCGTTATTTTTACGAGATCCTTACGAGGTCTTTACGAGATCTGTACGAGATCTGGATTTTGCAAGGCAAGGCAGCAGGGCAAGGCAGCAGGGATCTTTTCTACTCTTCCCTTCTCTGCTCTAGGCCTCTCTAATCACTTCTACTCTTCAATTCGATTCTCT